GAAAAAGGGTCTCTTCGCTCCTACTTCAGAGCGTGAATTACCTACCCCGCTTTCGCTTCTGGGCAAAACCAAGCCATACCATGCGCCTCCTCGTCAAGCGGCCTGACCAGTACAGGCTGCAATTTGGCATCGTTTGGTGTCTCTTGGAAGCGAGGGTGGTCAAAAGCGAGGTAGGTTTGTTTCCCCCTACTACTTCAGCGTCCGTCATGGTCTCGCGATGACTACATCCCCGGTCGCACACACACACCATGCAACCCTTCGTCGCTCGCCGTGAAGGGAACGGGGTCCCGAGAGCAACGGGCCCTGGGTTTGTTGTCCCGTTTTCGGGCTCCCTGGGGTTCTCCCCGAGCTCCGGGATGGTCTGGGACGGGGGTCCTGAGGGCAACGGGTTCTGGGTTTGTTCTCCCGTTTTCGGGCTCCCTGGGGCTCTCCCCGAGCTCCAGGATGGTCAGCCGACGGCTCGGAGGGAGAAGCTGCCCACCTCGAGGCCTGGGCGAGGCCTCGCACGGCCAAGGCGCTGAACATACAGACTGCTCGGAACTCAGCCCCCGCCCTCCTCTTTCCTGCCCCCTGTGTCAGCTCGCCCCTGATTGCTGTCTCCTCCTCCACCTCCCCCTCCTCCTCCTTTTCCTCTTTTTCTCCTCCTCCTCCTCCTCCTCCTCCTCCTCCTCCTCCTCCTCCTCCTCCTCCTCCTCTGACCCAGGCCAGAGGAACATATTATTGGCTCCTTTCTCGCCGTGGCTAGAAGAGAGCTTCGTCGTTCTTTGCATGGCTGTCCCCTCTGATATAACGATGACTGCATCTCCGGTCGCACACATGATGCATCCCTTCTCCACTCGCAATGAGGGAACAGGGCTCGAGCCAAACGGTGTTTCGGCGATTTTGTGGGCCATGTTTCTTTTGATGTCGTTTCGCAGCAGAGGCACCTCGAAAACATAACGAGGGAGCACACACAAAAAGCGAGCACGAAACGAAATCGCTGTTTAGCTCGAGCCATGTGAGGGAAGGAGGTCCTGAGGGAAACGGGTCCTGCATTTGCCTTGACCTGTCTTGAACTTCCCAGACATTCCACAGGCCCCGGGAAGGTCAACAAACGGCTGAGAATGCACAGCTGTTGGTCTCGTGGAGAAGCCGCGGGATTCACAAAGGGGTATCTAACATAGTGGTCCCGAGCTGGAATCATGTGTTTTCACGTGTCCAGGCCACCCAAACGGTATCTAACGTTGCAGCCCCGAGCTGGAATCACATGTTTTTATGTGTCCAGGCCACCCAGGGGGGTATATCTAACATTGTGGCCCCGAGCTTGAACCGTGTTCCACCCACTGGGATATCCAACATGGTGGCATCGAGCTGGAACCATGTCTTTTCACGTGTCCAGGCCGCCCAGAGGGGTGTCTATCATGGTGGTCTCGGGCTGGCACCATGTGTTTTCATGTGATATCTAACATGGTGGTCCCCAGCTGGAAGCATTTGTTGTCACGTGTCCAGGCCACCCAGGCGAGTATTTGACATGGTGGCCCTGAGCTAGAACCATGTGTTTTTACGTGTCCAGGCCGCCCGGAGGGGGGGTATCTAAGATGGTTGCCGCTTGCCCCTCGCTGAAACCACTTGTTTTCATATGTCTAGGCCTTCCAGAAAGTATTAATGACGGCCCCGAGCTGAAACCACGTGTTTCCACGTGTCCAGGCCACCTTGAGGGGTACCTAGCATGGCGGTCCCGAGCTGGAACCACGTGTTCTCACGTGCCCCGGCCACCCAGAGGGGTATCTAACATGGTTTCCCCGAGCTGGAACCATGTAGTTTTACGTGTCCAGGCCACCAAGGGGGGGTATCTAACACGTGTTCGTCTGGGAGCTCCCAGCTTGGGGGCTCACAAGGGCCAGACAAAAACCAAGACATCTACGTCAGATGTGTAATAACCTGACAGTTTCTTGGGCTTTGATTTTCGGGATTTCCCATGTGGGGTATCTAACATGGTGGTTCCGAGGTGGAACTGCGTGTTTTCACGTGTCCAGGCCACCCAGGTGGATATCTAACATGGTGGCCCCGTGCTGGACCCGCGGTCGCGGTCGTCGCCGTCCGCCGTCGTTGTCGTCGGCAGCGTTTCGGCCCGCCCCTTCTCGATGCAGTTCGCCTCGGTTTGGATTCGCGATTCTCATTTTGACTTGTTGCGGAGCATAATCCTTTTATCAGGTCTCGATTGCAATCAGCTCTGGGCGAGCAATGCGCCCAGGCAGCTCGAGCTTGAGGCCCAGCTCAGTTCTGTCAGGACTCGGATGCCAGGGAATATTTGATCCACGACGCAGCAGAGCACAGAAGTGTCCAGATTTACCCCTTTTCGGTTCGTCCCGCTCCCGAACTGAGTCGGATCTTGGGCTCGAGCTGGTCGAGCGCCCCGCGCGTTTCGATTGCGGCCAGATCTGAATTATGCGTTCAGGCAGCTCGAGCTTAAGATCCAGATCAGTTCGATCGGGGTTTGACGCCACCACGGACGACCTGATCCACAATGCAATAGAGCACACCACTTCAACGCGGCATGGCGCGTCCTAGTTCATCAGCACAGCACAGCACAGCCCCTGGCACTGTACATCACCACTGCTACCCTGACCACTGCAATGGCCCGTCGCCCAAACTTGGTGCCTTGAGCAGTTTCCATGTCTCACAGTTATGTATCCCTTTCCGGGGTCGTGGGTCGATCCTGTTTGCAAGTGTCTGCCCCAATCCAGACGACCCCTCTGCGACACCAGATGGAACGTTGCCTAAGTTCAAATCGGGCATGTCCCTCCACAGGAGGAGTGTTCAGAACTAGTAAAACAATAGTCTGGGGACACTTCTTTGATTCTGGTCGAGGGGGTGTTTTTTTTCCTCGCCCGAAATCCGCCTGTAGGAGGACATGCCCGACCTGAGCCTAAGTGTCTCCTGGCTTGGCGCCCGCGGCGGTGCCGCCACCTCGCCGCTGGCAGCGCAGGCGCGCGTGCGTGTGGACCTGCGGTGGAGACCTGTGCCAAGATGCACCCCGCTCGCTTCCGGGGTGCCCTGGGCTCCCCGGGTGTCGACGGGCTTGCCGTGGAAGGAAACACCCTGCTTGCCTCCAGGGTGCCCTGGGCTCCTCGGGTGTCGACGGGCTTGTCGTGGAAAGCGTGACGTTCCCACACCAATAATCCGTAGACGTCCTGGGGTCTCAGGGCTGGGTTTCTTGTGGAAGGCTTCATGTGGGCTGGCCTCCACTATATCAAAGCACGCCGGACCAAAATGTATACCCCACTCCGGGGTGCCCTGGGCTCCTCGGGTGTCGATGGGCTTGCCGTGGAAAGCGTGACGTCCCCACACCAAAAGTCAATGTGCAGTGCCAAGAAGCCCCCTGCTTGCCTCCAGGATGCGCTGGGTCTCTTTGGCTTCGATGGTTTTGCGGTGGAGAGCGCGACCTTTGCAGTTTTACGTCCTGGGGTCTCAGGGTTGGGTTTCCCGTGGAAGGTTTCTTGTGGGCTGGCCTCCGCTGCACTCAGTTCCGCTGCACGCGGTCTGCGTCGGGGCCGCCACTGCGAATACGTGCGTCGCAGTGGCGGGCTTTGGCGAACAAGCACCAGCTGGCGCCAGCACTGCGTTGTGAGGATCATCGAGCCACCCGCGCCATCCCGCTCCCTCACCCGCCCTCTCCCTTCTGGCAGGTCACCCCAGGAAGGGCGAAGGTCGCCGCGCCTCTCGCGCCGCGGAGGTGGCCGCCGAGCCGGTCTTCTCCAGGGCTTGGGGCGGGGATCTGCCCAAGACCACCGCTTGGGGGATCGACCTTCTCGGGCCTCGGCAGGCGGCGGATGTGGACACATTCCGGAGGGGGAGGAGGAGGAGGAGGAGGAGGAGGAGGAGGAGGAGGAGGAGGAGGAGAACGAGGAGGAGGAGGAGGAGGAGGAGGAGGAGGAGGAGGAGGAGGAGGAGGAGGAGGACGAGGAGGAGGAGGAGGAGGAGGAGGAGGAGGAGAGGAGGAGGAGGAGGAGGGGAGGAGGAGGAGGAGGAGGAGGAGGAGGAGGAGGAGGAGGAGGAGGAGGAGACCCCCCTTGGGACCAACCGATATCCATATCCGGGGGGGCTCCAGGACCTCGCCAGGCGGTGGACGCGGACAGCTTCACGCCGCGCAGAAACGGGGGCGGCGCGAGTGCGCGAAGGCAGGCGCGCGTTGTGGGACGCGGGACGCGGGGCGCGAAGTTACGTCACCTACGGCAGATCACCACCCACCCAACCACCCCAACCCAACCCGAAGGCCTCAATTTGCCCTCCATTTCCAGTTGGGGGGGTCGGGGAACATGGAAAAAAACGCATATGGAACCCGTACCCCCCTCAACCCGACATTGGGGTCTTCGGGTTGGGCTGGGGTGGTCTGGTAGGTAGTCAGTAGAAGGAAACTATTCGTGGATACTCCCCCGCTCCCCTAAACTGAGAGTTGGCAGGCGCGGGGCAGACTGCGGTCGATGTGCAGCTTATTCAAGCCACCGCCAACATAGATCGTTGGGGGGGGGGGCATTGGAAGAGGAATGCCGCATGAGCGTTCGCGAATCTACTCCGAGGCCTGCACGGCGAGGGCGTTGGATCAGGAACCGTTGGATCAAGACTCTAGGGCCTGAAGACATGGTTGAGCTCCAATGGAGGTTTGGTTGTGGAGATCAGGGCCGCCCTCAGCAGAGGAGGACGCCTCCGGGGTCTGGAGCCTCCTGGGCACCACTAGCACGGATCACACATCTGCGTTTCGCCGACGATGTCTTGCTGGAGGCGGGGATGAGGAGGATGAGGAGGAGGAGGAGGAGGAGGAGGAGGAGGAGGAGGAGGAGGAGGAGGAGGAGGAGGAGGAGGAGAAGGGGGAGGGGGGGAGGAGGAGGAGGAGGAGGAGGAGGGAGGAGGAGGAGGAGGAGGAAGTTTTGGGACCAGCCCTCTTCATTCCTGAACCAACGCCCCCAAAGCAGCCTACCGCTCCCTCCGCCTCCTCTCTGCGCCCCCTCGCCGCCCGGCAGGGACGGCGGCGCGCCCGCCGACGAGCGCTCGCGCGGCGAGGGCGAGCGGGGGCCTGCTGGCGCGACCTCGCACGGCGCCGCGCACGGCGGCGGCGGTGGCCCTGGAGGACGGCCTGGCACCAGCTGCCTGCTCTTGATTTTCGCCGGCGGGAAGCGGTTAGTTCTCTGGGCCACACGGGAGGAGGAGGAGGAGGAGGAGGAGGAGGAGGAAGAGGAGGAGGAGGAGGAGGAGGAGGAGGAGGAGGAGGAGGAGGAGGAGGAGGAGGAGGAGGAGGAGGAGGAGGAGGAGGAGGAGGAGGAGGAGGAGGAGAGGGGAGGAGGAGGAGGAGGAGGAGGAGGAGGAGGAGGAGGAGGAGGAGGAGGAGGAGGAGGAGGAGGAGGAGGAGGAGGAGGAGGAGGAGGAGGAGGAGGAGGCGGAGGAGGAGGAGGAGGAGGAGGACGAGGAGGAGGAGGAGACGGGAGGAGGAAGCCGAGGACAGCGATGACGACGACGAAGTGAGAAGGGAAAGGCCTTCTCAGAAGGCGGCGGGGCTTCTCGGAAGGCCTCTGGCCTTCCGAGAGGTCTTCCGCGTCTTCGTCTCCGGGGAAGGCTCAGAACATTTTGCAGAAAGCCGGGGGGACTTTCGAGCCTTTGAGAGGATCCGCCCTTCTCACTTCCCCCGGGGCTATCCGCCGATTCTTGCAGTGCGCAGCTCAAGCCGCGGACCAGTGTGTGCAACGCTGTTCGAGGGCTCGTGCCCCCCTCGTCGGGCATTGGCCCGAGTGGCTGTCCCGAGTTCCGTGCAGTATGCAGCGCGTGCGCGTACAGTATGTGTGTGTGTGTCTATGCGTGCGCCTCGCGACAGCCATTTGGGCCCTCGCCCTCGACCTCACCCCCGGCCCCTCGAAGCACAGAAGATTTGTAGGCAACCACAAGCGTTGAGAGGTCCGCACGCTGGACCTCTCTCCCCACAACCCCTCGAGCGGTGCCGCGCGTGCCGCCCCCCGCGCCGACGCCAGACGTCCGCGCGGACCTCCGGATGCATCGGCGATTCATCTCGATCCAGAGCCAGAGCTCTCGAACACTGGCATGCGCCTCCTGTGGGCCAAGGCGCCTAAGCATGGTTTCCCGCCCCTCCCGCCCCAGTCTTTGACCCCCCCGAGTTCCGAGTTCACATGCGAGAGGCTTGTGCCTTTTCCGGGTGGCGGCTCCCGTGCGTACTGCGATCCTCATCGGCGGCGATTGCGGGGGATGCGGGAGGGAGATCGATATCTTTCATCGGGGCCTATTCGGGCGTCTTCCACCCTCGCCCTCCAGAGAGAGAGAGAGAGGGAGAAAGAGAGAGTGAGACAGAGATAGAGAGAGAGAGGGAGAGAAAGAGAGAAAGAGCGAGAAAGAGGAGAGGGGGGAGGAAGGAGGAGGAGGAGGAGGAGGAGGAGGAGGAGGAGGAGGAGGAGGAGGAGGAGGAGGAGGAGGAGGAGGAGGAGGAGGAGGAGGAGGAGGAGGAGGAGGAGGAGGAGGAGGAGGAGGAGGAGGGGAGGAGGAGGAGGAGGAGGAGGAGGAGGAGGAGGAGGAGGAGGAGGAGGAGGAGGAGGAGGAGGAGGAGGAGGAGGGGAGGAGGAGGAGGAGGAGGAGGAGGAGGAGGAGGAGGAGGAGGAGGAGGAGGAGAGGAGGAGGAGGAGGAGGAGAGGAGGAGGAGGAGGGGAGGAGGAGGAGGAGGAGGAGGAGGAGGAGGAGGAGGAGGAGGAGGAGGAGGAGGAGGAGGAGGAGGAGGAGGAGGAGGAGGAGGAGGAGGAGGAGGAGGAGGAGGAGGAGGAGGAGGAGGAGGAGGAGGAGGAGGAGGAGGAGGAGGAGGAGGAGGAGGAGGAGGAATCCGTAGCCATTTTGGCTCAAGCTGGGCGCGCGCTTGTTGTTCCAAGGGAGGCCCATGCTTATCGGCCCTCCCTTTGCTCTGAGCGCTCGTGCCATGTCGGCTACGGGGGGCTGTCCGAGTTCGTGGCGGCCCTCATCCCAGCGTCAGTCGGACATCGAGTCTCTGGGAGCTTCCGCGGCGCGGAGGCTCGCTCGCCGCAGGCGTCGCGATGCCCTGGAGGCGTGGCTGCGGTCGCTGTCAGGTCCGTGCGAGCCTGGCTCCTGGCGCGATAGGGAGCAGGCTGCGCGACCTGCGCTGATCGCCGCCACCGCCCAGCTCCGCGTCCCAGGCAGAGCGCGCAGGAGGCGCAATGCAGCGCTCCATGCGCGGCGCGTGCCGCCTCGCGGTTTCTGCACTGCGTCGGATGCCGAGCTGGCATGGGCTGCTGCTGGGGAGCGCCTCGGTCCGCCGCAGGCTGCCCATGTTGCCGCGGTTGTGCCTGCATACGGGAAGTCGTCGTCCATGCGAGCAGACGCAGACGTCTTCGCCCCGTCGGGGGCAGTGGCTGAGCGTGCAGTTCCTGGTGCTCCTCCCGCCCCCGCCGCCGCCGCCGCAGAAGGTACGAGATGCACGTGTGGGGCCATGGTTTTCCCGCTCGTCGTGTCGTCCTTGGAGCGGGAGTTCGACGCTGTTCCCAATTGTTCCGCGGAGATCGGTTTGGCGGAGCCCATCGTCCTCAGCCCACCCCCAGACCGTGTGGATGCAGCTGAGGAGACTCCGTTCACCCGAGACGCCGTGGGAGCTGGCCCTGGTGCCGAAGCAGTTGAGCCCCTGCTGGGGACGCTTGCCTGCGGAGCTGCGCTGCCGATGGCAACCTCCTGGGCTTGGGCGCCCACTGGCCTGCCGCCAGATCCAGGTGAGGGGTTGTCTTCGGCACCGTTTCCGCATCATCCTCGACTGGGATACCGTGAACTTCGCAGTCGAATGCTGCCGATATATTCTCGCCCAGGCATGTGGGCCCGATCGATGCTGTCGGCTTCTGTTTTTAGGCTTTAGAGGGAGTGGCTTCGGTGGTCTTCCCGCGCCTCGCGGGAAGCACGGCCTGGAGGATAGCACGGGCTGTGTTGTCCCAGGTGACGCCACACACCTCTGCTCCCAGGGAGTGGCTTCGGTGGTCTCCCCTCGCGTTGAGGGGGGCACAGCCTGGAGGATCGTGCATAGCACGGTCCCAGGTGATGCCGCAAACCTGTCTGGAGCTCTGTCAGCGCATTCTGCTGTGGATATTCTGCCACATTCTGGCATCTTCGTCCGCCTGGCGACTTGGTCGCTTTCTCCTCAGGAATGTCCTGGGCAGGTGTATTTTGGTTGTGATGTAAGAGGAGAAGTCAAGCTTCCAGTTGTGCCTTATCCCTCCTCACCTCTTCCCTCCTCCCCTATCTCTTCAGCCCTTTGCTCTCAGCGAGCCTTAACATTCAGTGAGAGAGCCATCGTGATTAGGCCTCACGCACATAGCAGCAACCAGTGAGAGGGCCATTTTGATCAGGCCTCACGTAGTTGAAATGGGGTGGGGGAGTTGGGCTAAGGGTGTAATGGGGTGGAAAAGTCGAGCGAATTGTCACGCTCCGCAAGCGGTGAGCGGTCGTCCCGCCAGGTCTTCCCGCAAAACCAGTTCAGGTCCTCAGGCCCCCATCCCCGAAAAGAGGCCTGCTCCCAAAGAGGAGGAGGACAGGGCCACGAGGCCCAGGCCAGATGCGCACGTTAAGAGCTGAGGGTGAGGCGACTCAGCTCCGCCAGCAGCTAGACACGGCCAGGGTGGACATCGCGCCCAGGATCTCCCCCCCCCCCCCCCAAGTCGGCAAGGTAGAGATCCGAGTGGCGCAGGCCGTGCGGAGGAGCCTAAATAAGGGTCTCAAGAAAACCCACAAAGAGTTTGGCATTTTTGTGCGTGTTGGCTGGCCTTGTTTAACCAGGCCCAAGAGGCTACTTAGAGTTAGCACCGCCTCATAGGTGAGGACTCATCTCCAGGCGGCCTTGACCCTCTCTAGCTAAGGCGGAGAGAACTCTGAAAGGCTCAACGCCAATTGAAGTGGCCAATGACACCCGCTTGTTTATCGAACAGGCTCGAGGGTATGTAGACTGCCCTCCACAGTGGCACCCTCTAGGCAGTGGACCCTTTCTCCCCTCCCCTCCCTCGTCTCTCTTCCTTATTCAACATTGCCCTCCTCCCCCCTTCCCACTTTCGGGTCCTTGAGGCTGGATTGTGAATTTTCTCAGGCCAGTGCTGGATAGTGGACGATGGGGGGTTTAAGGATCATCCATATCGGAGGAGGACAGGGCCACGAGGCCCAAGCTAAGTACGGCATTTGTAGATGTGGCGTTATCGTCATCAGCGTTTCAAGAGCCGAGGGAGAACTCAGCTCAGCCAGCGGCGGAGCAGAACGCACTCGCTAATGGGCTGGGCCGCTCGCTGGCAGCCAGTATCCAACTCCCAGACGAGGGACTGGGAAACGAGGCAGGCAGCGTGGAAGTATTTTAGGCTATTACACGTATAGGCCTCTGGTGGAGGAGGAGTGGTGGATTTTCGAGTATTAGGCATGTGTGTGTGCGTTGGGCCCATGGCTCCTCCGTGTGGTGTGCACTGGCGGAGGAGGAGCTCGTCACCCACCCCCCCTCGTGGCGGTCCCCCGCCACCGCCTCCACGCCGTCCCCTCCGCAGCCTCGTGCTCCTCAGGCCTTTTTGAATTGGCCCGCGCCCCACCAAAAGGAATGAGTGCAGGCTCGGCCGATGGAAGTCGCATCCAGGACCCCCCAGTTGGCAAGGATGTGGGGCTCCGCGAGGCGGAGGCTGTATTGAGGCGTCTGAATGAGGGCCTAAAGAAAGCCCACAGGGAGCTTTCTGCTGTCTTGCGCATGTTGGCTGGCCTGGTCCACCAGGCCCATGAAGCTTCTCAGAGCATAGACCGCCTCATAGGTGAGGACCCGCCTCCAGAGGGTGCTGACCCTTCTCTTGCCGAGGCGGAGAGAACTCTGTACAGGCTCAACGCCCATATTGACGTGGCCAATGACACCCGCCTGATGCTTTTAGACAGGCTCGAGGGTATGGAGGCTGCCCTACGCAGTGGCACCCTCTAGTCATTGGCCACCTTCTCCCCTTCCCTCCCTCGTCCCACAACTTTAGGCATCTCATTTCCCTCCTCCCCTCCTTCCCACTCTTGGGGTCCTTGCGGCTGGGTAGCGATTCGTGTCAGGCCAGTGCTGGACTAGTGGTTTGGGGGGGCGAGGATGATAGAAGCGGGGGGGGGGGGGAGCGAGCGAGAGAGAGAGCGCCGCCCGACGTGCTGTCGTCGAAGTACGGCCAGCGCGGGGAGAAGTACGCTCAGGCGCGCCGCCCAGGCGCCGGTGAAGGGACGCCGCTTCCCCCTTCCTCTTTCCCTTTCAGGGGTAGGCTGTGCTTGCGCGACCTGCCCCTCTTGCAGAAACCACAGAAACCACAAGAGGAGGAGGTGGAGGAGGAGGAGGAGGAGGAGGAGGAGGAGGAGGAGGAGGAGGAGGAGGAGGAGGAGGAGGAGGAGGAGGAGGAGGAGGAGGAGGAGGAGGAGGAGAGGAGGAGGAGGAGGAGGAGGAGGAGGAGGAGGAGGAGGAGGAGGAGGGGAGGAGGAGGAGGAGGAGGATGAGGAGAGGAGGAGAGGAGGAGGAGGAGGAGGAGGAGGAGGAGGAGGAGGAGGAGGAGGAGGAGGAGGAGGAGGAGGAGGAGGAGGAGGAGGGGGGCGGAGGGGGAGGGGGAGGAGGAGGAGGGGGAGGAGGAGGAGGAGGAGGAGGGGGGCGAGGAGGAGGAGGGGGAGGAGGAGGAGGCCCGCCGGGAGGTCTCTGGCAATTCTCGGCCTCCGGGGGCCTTTTGCAGGGCTCGGCGGCCGTCGAGAACCGGCCAGGATCAGAGTAGCAGGTGCCGGGGAAGTGGTCTACGCCACGGAGGGTCCACGCTGCGAGAGAGACGACATCCGAGGCCTGGGGGGAAGATCTCGTTTCCAAATTGCCCCATCCCGCTCCCCCGCAACCCCCTCACTGGAAAGTTTTCAGGTAGTCAGAAGTGGGAGTGGGGACGCGAGCAAGCTATGGGACATCAGTTGGAGTCTTGGACAATCCAGCACAGGCTCAAGGAAGCTCAGTGGGGGTCACGTCCAGCTTTGATCCTCCCGTGTCCCTTGGGCCGATTTTTATCAATTCTCCCCTGTCCAGCTCGTTCAACCCACCTTTTTCTCGGTTAGCTTTGGTGTGCCACTGAACGCCCAGATTCTCCGAGCAAGCCGTGAGCAAGGCAGGTGATGCGATTGCGTTGCAGTTGGCACGAGGGTTAAGAACAATCCTAGCTTTGGAGGGGTACACCTCACTACTTTTCATCTTCGGGGGACTTCGCCTGTCCCCGAAGTTGTGTCTGTTCTTGTGCCCGACGCGGGCTCGATGCGGACTCGGCGCGGATTGGGTGCGGATTCGACACGGACTCGACACGGAACCGACGAGTCCGGCGGTCGGTTCGGCTCGGCCAGCTTTGGTGCCGCGGCCGCGCCGCTGCAGCATTCTAGCGGCAGCGTTCAGTGTGTGTGTGTGTGTGTGTGTGTGTGTGTGTGTGTGTGTCCGGCCTCGGCAAGTCTCGGTTGTTTGCGGCCGGTGTCCGGTCGGTTTCCGGTGGCGTTGCCGCCGTGTATGTGCCTGGGGCCGTCTTCGCACAGTGGAGGTCCATGCCAAGAAACACCCTACTTGCCTCCAGGGTGCCCTGGGTTTCTTGGGTGTCGATGGTTCTGCGATGGAAGGCGTGACGTTCCCACACCAAACCTCCATGGACGGCCTGGGGTGTCAGGGCTGGGTTTCTTGTGGAAGGCTTCTTGTGGACTGGCCCCCGCTGTATCAAAGCACGTCGGACCGAAATGTATACCCTCCTTCTCCCAAGTTCAAAGTTAACGGACTTGGCCGCTAGGCCACAGGCCAGGGACAACAAATGTGGACAATCGGGGGAGCGCTGCGAGACAAGGGCATTTCGCAGTTGCGGTTGTTCTCATGTTGCATCGCCGTGTCGCCAAGGGTGTGGACCTTTTTTGTCCGGGTACCGTTCGACTGTGTCCAAGGTTGCGAAGGCTCCTTGCCCACCTTGCTCTGTACTCTTCCCGAGGCCCGAAGGCCCAGCAGGCAGACCCTTTCAGTACTGCCTACCAGCCAGTTCGCGCCGCCCCGCGAGGAACTGTCACGGCGACTTCCACGAGCGTTCTGGCCACGGCCACCACCGCATTCGCCTCGAGCACGTCCTCCTCGTTCACGAGCACGTCATCCGACATCGTGGTGTCTCCATTGGACGATGATGAAGTGATGCAGGACCACCGGCCTTTTTTAATCCGCTTGTTGCTGGTGGTGCTGATGTTTCGCAGCCGTTCGTCGTCGCCTCTCTGGAACTAGTTCACGCAGTAGTCAGGTTTTTCCGATTTCCGAAGGGTTTGGAAGGCACTGGCGTCTAGATCGTTCCTCCGGAGGGTCTCGAAGCCAGGAGCGTTCGGGTGTATTCGCTCCTCCGTTTTTCTTGACGCTATCCGACATGTGCACACCAGCGAGTGTGCGCATTTCCATCCTTATGTGTACTGATACTCAGAGCCATGCAGTCTGCACGCTGTCCAGCTGAGAC